CTTCCATACTCCTCCTCCCCAATTTGATATCCAATTTTTCTTTATCTAAATCATTTGATACCTCATCACCTTACTCTTTTCTATGTTCACTTTCAACTTTCTACCTTTACACACATTCTCAAACTCATCCACTAACCTTTGCAATTTTTCTTTAGAATCTCCCATAAGCACAGTATCATCAGCAAAAAGTAACTGTGTCAATTCCCATTTTAATTTGATTCCCCATAATTTAATCCCACCCCTCTCCGAAACCCTAGCATTTACTTCTTTTACAACCCCATCTATAAATATATTAAACAACCATGGTGACATTACACATCCCTGTCTAAGACCTACTTTTACGGGAAGTATTCTCCCTCTCTTCTACACACTCTAACCTGAGCCTCACTATCCTCATAAAAGCTCTTTACAGCATTTAGTAACTTACCACCTATTCCATAAACTTGCAACATCTGCCACATTGCTCCTCTATCCACTCTATCATATGCCTTTTCTAAATCCATAAATGCAATAAAAACTTCCCTACCTTTATCTAAATACTGTTCACATATATGCTTCAATGTAAACACTTGATCTACACATCCCCTACCCACTCTGAAGCCTCCTTGCTCATCCGCAATTCTACATTCTGTCTTACCTCTAATTCTTTCAATTATAACTCTACCGTATACTTTTCCTGGTATACTCAGTAAACTTATTCCTCTATAATTTTTACAATCTCTTTTGTCCCCTTTCCTTTATATAAAGGGACTATACATGCTCTCCGCCAATCCCTAGGTACCTTCCCCTCTTTCATACATTTATTAAACAAAAGTACCAACCACTCCAACACTATATCCCCCCCTGCTTTTAACATTTCTGTCATGATCCCATCAGTTCCAGCTGCTTTACCCCCTTTCATTCTACGTAATGCCTCACGTACCTCCACCACACTTACATTCTGCTCTTCTTCACTCCTAAACCATGGTATACCTCCCTGGCCAGTGCATGAAATTACCGCCTCCCTTTCTTCCTCAACATTTAAAAGTTCCTCAAAATATTCTCGCCATCTACCTAATACCCCCCTCTCCCCATCTACGAACTCCCCTACTCTGTTTTTAACTGACAAATCCATACTTTCCCTAGGCTTTCTTAACTTGTTTAACTCACTCCAAAATTTTTTCTTATTTTCATTAAAATTTCTTGACAGTGCCTCTCCCACTCTTTCATCTGCTCTCCTTTTGCACTCTCTCACCACTCTCTTCACCTTTCTTTTACTCTCCATGTACTCTGCTCTTCTTATAACACTACTGCTTTGTAAAAACCTCTCGTAAGCTACCTTTTTCTCTTTTATCACACCCTTTACTTCATCATTCCACCAATCTCTCCTCTTTCTCCTGCCCCCACCCTCCTATAACCACAAACTTCTGCCCCACATTCTAATACTGCATTTTTAAAACTATTCCAACCCTCTTCAACCCCCCCACTACTCATCTTTGCACTAGCCCACCTTCTGCCAATAGTCGCTTATATCTCGCCCGAACTTCCTCCTCCCTTAGTTTATACACTTTCACCTCCTTCTTACTTGTTGTTGCCACCTTCCTCTTTTCCCATCTACCTCTTACTCTAACTGTAGCTACAACTAAATAATGATCTGATATATCAGTTGCCCCTCTATAAACATGTACATCCTGGAGCCTACCCATCAACCTTTTATCCACCAATACATAATCTAACAAACTACTTTCATTACGTGCTACATCATACCTTGTATATTTATTTATCCTCTTTTTCATAAAAATATATATTACTTATTACCAAATTTCTTTCTACACATAGCTCAATTAAAGGCTCCCCATTTACATTTACACCTGGCACCCCAAATTTACCTACTACTCCCTCCATAACATTTTTACCCACTTTAGCATTAAAATCCCCAACCACCATTACTCTCACACTTGATTCAAAACTCCCCACGCATTCACTCAACATTTCCCAGAATCTCTCTCTCTCCTCTACGCTTCTCTCTTCTCCAGTGCATATACGCTTACTATAACCCACTTTTTCACATCCAATCTTTATTTTACTCCACATAATCCTTGAATTTATGCATTTGTAGTCCCTCTTTTCCTGCCATAGCTTATCCTTCAACATTATTGCTACTCCTTCTTTAGCTCTAACTCTATTTGAAACCCCTGACCTAATCCCCTTTATTCCTCTCCATTGAAACTCTCTCCCCACCCCCTTCAGCTTTGTTTCACTTAAAGCCAGGACATCCAGTTTCTTCTCATTCATAACATCCACAATCATCTCTTTCTTATCATTTGCACAACATCCACGCACATTCAGACTTCCCACTTTGACAATTTTCTTCTTCTTATTGTTTTTAGTAATCTTTACAGGAAAAGGGGTTACTAGCCCATTGTTCCCGGCATTTTAGTTGACTTTTACAACACGCATGGCTTACGGAGGAAAGATTCTTATTCCACTTCCCCATGGATATAAAAGGAAAAGTAATAAGACCAAGAACTATTAAGATAAAATCAAAGAAAACTCAGATGAGTGTGTATAAATAAACATGTACATGTATGTGTAGTGTGACTTAAGTGTAAGTAAAAGTAGAAGTAGCAAGACGTACCTGTAATCTTGCATATTTATGAGACAGACAAAAGACACCAGCAATCCTACCATCATGTAAAACAATTACAGGCTTTCGTTTTACACTCACTTGGCAGGACGGTAGTACCTCCCTGGGTGGTTGCTGTCTACCAACCTACTACTTATATATACTACTACAAGCATATATATACATACCCCTCTGGATTTTCTTCTATTTTTTTCTAGTTCTTGTTCTTGTTTATTTCCTCTTATCTCCATTGGGAAGTGGAACAGAATTTGTCTTCCGTAAGCCATGCGAGTCGTAAGAGGCGACTAAAATGCCGGGAGAAAGGGGCTAGTATCCCCTTCTCCTGTATATATTACTAAATTTAAAAGGAGAAACTTTTGTTTTTCCTTTTGGGCCACCGCACGTCAATGGGATACGGCTGGTATGCTGAGAGAAAAGACTTAACACAAATAAAAAATCCTGCCCTTAACCTCTTCTTAGAAGCTGAAACAGAATGAACGGACTAAATAAGAAATAAATACCTCTATGATATCCCATGTATTTGACTCAACATGAGTAGAAACTCAATGCATATACCAAGTACATGGCAAAAAATGTGGAACTCTTTACTAGAAGATTCTAAAAATTATCTATCTGCCAACTGCTTTAGAAATGTCAAAAACCTGATCTTGATGTGTTATAAGAAGACCAAATATGAATGTCAAAGGTATCTAATACAACCTGCCTATCTAATTTCCAATCAAGACTCTTCTTATTCTTCTTTCAACAAACCGGTCATATCCCACCAAGGCAGGGTGACCCAAAAAGGAAAACAAAAGTTTATCTTTTTAACTTTAGTAATGTATACAGGAGAAGGGGTTACTAGCTCCTTGCTCCGGCATTTTAGTTGCCTCGTAAGACACACATGGCTTAGAGAGGAAGAATTCTGTTCCACTTCCCCATGGAGATGAGAGGAAATGAACAAGAATTAGTAATTAATTAATTGAGCTATGTGTAGAAGGAGGTTTGGGGATTTTCTTTCTTTTCAGGTCACCCTGCTTCGGTGGGAGACAGCCGACTTGTTAAAAAAAAAAAATAGTAAGAAAATAGAAAAAACCCAGAGGGGTGTGTATATATATGCTTGCACATGCATGTGTAGTGTGACCTAAGTGTAAGAAGAAGTAGCAAGATGTATCTGTAATCTTGCATATTTTTTTTTTTTAAACAAACCAGCGTATCCCACCGAGGCGGGGTGGCCTAAAAGGAAAACCGAAAGTTTCTCCTTTTACACTTAGTAATATATACAGGAGAAGGGGTTACTAGCCCCTTGCTCCCGGCATTTTAGTCGCCTCTTACAACACGCATGGCTTATGGAGGAAGAATTTTGTTCCACTTCCCCATGGAGATAAGAGGAAATTAACAAGAACAAGAATGAGAAAGAAAATAGAAGAAAACCCAGAGGGGTGTGTATATATATGCTTGTACATGTATGTGTAGTGTGACCTAAGTGTAAGAAGAAGTAGCAAGACATACCTGTAATCTTGCATATTTATGAGACACACAAAAGACACCAGCAATCCTACCATCATGTAAAACAATTACAGGCTTTCGTTTTACACTCACCTTGGCAGGACAGTAGTACCTCCCTGGGTGGCTGCTGTCTACCAACCTACCACCTAGGATCAAGACTCATGTCTCCACTATGTTTCTACCTCCAAAGTTTATTGCTCAAGTTGTCAATATTGTTTTGTATTACTGTCCTTTCATATTAGCACTGCTGTATTAGACTGAGAGCATTTTGTTATTCAGACCAGTCACTGTATGTGGTAATTTTATCTTGAGACAAATTCTGATAAACTTAGCATTCACAATCTACCATTAGTTAATTAATGTTAAGTAATTTTCTGATTCTAGTTTTAGTATGTCCAAAATGCTCTGCATAAATATGGGGTTTTCCAGGTAAGAAACTACTGTACATATGTAAGATAACCTCTGTAACATAAAAGTATTTTCTTGGAAAATAAGCATTTTGTTCTATTTTATTTATTTATGAAAGTAACCTAATCCATTTTAATAAAATAATTTTTAAAATAAGTTAAAATAAAATATACCATGTCTCTCCAGTAAAATAAAAGTGTACAGTATTTTTCAACAGTTTTCCTTGGAAGGTGGAGAGACCCAAAGAAGGAAACACATTCACCATCATACAGTCAACAGCTGTTCTGGCAGAAATGCAGACATCACAATCCAAATAATATGCCAATCATTAAATATTAATTATGTGGTACTGTACATGAAATTTTTTCCTAAAACATAAAGATGAAAAACTGAGACAATAAAAATGGCATTAATAATAAATGCAAAATACAGGATAATACATAAGATGTATCACAAGACAATAAATAGAAGTACAAACCTCTAAATCTCCTTTAATGGTCTTGATTTCATGAGTCATCATATCTTTCTTTCTTTCCAGAGAATCTTTCTCCATTGTAATATTGCTCACTTGCTCAGCTAACACCTTGTTTTCATTCTTCAGTGTCTCACATTTCTCTCCTAATTCTTGCACCTGCTGAGAATGTCTTACAGATTGTTCTTGCAAAGTATTTTCCAAATGGGACTTGTTTCCTTCCAGAGTTGCTACATGCTCTTGAAGTTGGCTTTTCTCATTTGCTAATCTCTTAAGCTCTGCATCAATGCTAACACTCTTTGCTAATGCTGCTTTTACTTCTGTGTCTAAGGTAGAATTTTGTGACTGCAGTTTCTGAATGTTTTCTTTCATATTCTCAGCCTCAATGAGAGATACTGCAAGCTTACTTTTCAAGTTCTCTTTTTCAGTTAATTCTAATCTAAGCTTGCCCTGCAAATCCTCAATAACATTAGTTTTTTGTTTTAAAATCTCTTTGATAGAATCCAATTCACTTTTAAGAAGTTTGGAAGCTGACTGCACATTATTTAAGTTTTCTTGACTATCTTGAAACTTTTTTTCAGTTTCCATCTTTTTTGTTTCACTTTCTGATATTTTCTTTTTCATTTCCAAAATTTCATGATCTTTTGCTTTTATCATCTCTTTTTCCTTGGTTAAGTTAGCCTCTAAAATATCAATAATTTTCACTTTTTCTTGCAGTTTTTCAATTAATTTTTCTCTCTCTCTTAAATTGTTTTCCAGTGTTGCAGCTCTGGCATTTGAATCCTTAAGAGCATTACCAATATTTGTCATTTTATTGTTGAGTTGTTCCATGGCTTCAGATTTTCCCACAAGAACATTTTCTGCAGTACTTCTTGCATGTTCAGCGTCTCTGAGACTTTTACGTAATTCCTCCACCTGCTCAGACTTTTTCTTTAATACTTCACTCTCCTCTTTAGAGACATCATTTAGTTTTTCCTTCAAACTTTCTAATTCACCAATCTGTAAAGAAAAACTCATAGGTAGCTTTAACAATGGTTGAACACATATACAAGTGAGAATTGTCGAGTTTGAAAAAGACCTGCTTAGAATAGGTTGGTAAACTTGCTGAAGTGCTCCTCTGGTCTTATGTTTTCTTTGATAACTTTGAATTAAATGTCACAACTGTGAAAATTAAATTTATATTTAAAAACAGTGAATATGAAAAAGAACTTTGTTTCTGATAAAAAAAAGTTTTTTGAAGGTTATATTCTGCTTAACAAAATGCAAAGTTCACTGTAGGAAAAACAGTGTCTTAACATAAAATCTTAATGACTACATAACTATTAAAAATAACTACACTACATAAATCCATGCTTAACCCCTTCAGAATAAACTTGAATTGAACTGAATTGAATTGAGGTTAAATTCGAGTTCTAGTTTTGAACTCTGAGTCAGTGGTAAATTTGGACCTATAATAGAGAATGTGTTTAAGTGGGCACCACTAACAAAAATTCTGCAGCACGCTGTCATGAGAAAACAAAACTGCGACCATAGTTTATACGTTTAAAACAGCGACTTGCAGTGCATTTTCCACGTGGTTTTATGGTTAATTCATGTTCTTGGTCTCATTTCATAGATAGAAAATATAGTTAAGATGAAATAAAAGATGATATTTTAATTGGGTTTTGAGATGATGTAAATAGGCCCACTGAAAATTTGCAGCTTGTGGAAAATGTTGCGATTTTTTCAATATTCCAGATTAACAATCTTTTACGGGTTAAGATAGATCAGGTCGCAATTCATAATACAACCATAAAACCCACGTAAAATGATCATGCAAAGTCTGATGTTTAAAACGAAAAACATTAGTCGCATGTTTGTTTTTCCAATAATATTTTTCAAAAATAAATATGTCCAATACACATCCACTGGCCAGTCTAGTATGACTGCACTGACATTATTTATGAAATTATTACAATAAAGCATAACAGTAAATAAAAATTCAAAATGGAATTCACATGTAATGCCAGGAACATAACTAATGAACAGAAGCAATGTCATTGTAGTGCTAGGAAGGCTTGCATTGTTTATTCTGGACCCTATTTTGAAATTGGCATGTTTTGAAATTTGTGTGAAACTGGCCAAATTATCAGGTGCTGATCACTTTACTGGGTAGTTGAAATTAACTGGGTGGTTTCTTGTACTCAATCGACAAATTGGAAGGCATACTAGTGAAATAGCTAAGAATTTGGTTAACTGGAACAATGTAATTGGCCTAAATTGGACTCAAAGTGGGGAAAATTGCCGATGCATAAATATTGTTGACACAGCAAAATTCCTGATAGCTTAATTTCATCAATTTTCCATCAAATTTTGTACCTTTTGTTTTATTGCCTTCACAAAAAAATTCTCTACCATTTCACAAGAAATTTTTTTTTTTTTTTTTTTTGAAAATTCTTAGACTCTGTGGACAAATTTCAGATCGGGGGGTCTGGACCCTGAAAGGGTTAAAGAATATTGTTGATTTTCAATTTAGAAAAAGTTAATATTAAATAAACATCCAAACACATTTATTAAAAATACATAACTTACTTTTTCACTGAGCTCCCGAGCTAGGCTGTTTTTATCTTTTTCTGCTTCAAGGAATTTATTCTGCAGTGACAGTAGTTGATCTCGTAAAGTTTCAAGTTCAGACTGTGTAGCTGCGTGCTTTGCACTCAGCTCAGAAACCTTTAACAAAAATAGCTTTTTATTAGTAAATAGTAGTTCATTTTCCTTATGATTAAGAAATGAGCTCTCATTTCTCATCAATAACTGTACAGTATACCATATTTGAAAAATATAGCAGTAAATTGGGCAAATATTTCATGAATACTTAATCATTGATAGTTATACTATTTATTATTACAGGCAGGCCCCGTTTTATAGCACTTTGCTTTACAGCATTTCACTAATGCAACAGCTTTCAATTACAGTGGACCCCTGGTTAGCGGCCGGTTCTGTTAACGGCCAACTCGGTTATCGCCGTTTTTTTTGGCGCCCGGTTATCGGCCGTTTGGGAAGCATCCATCCGCCGGCTGGAGCCATTTGCGTGTCAGTTTGGCTTTGTCTCACGTGGCTGAGGAAGCTTCTGCTCATACATCCAAACATTTTGCTTGTTTTCCATTGTTTTTAGTGGGGTTTTTTTGCAGTGCAACTGTGAAATAAGTAACCATGGCTCCAAAGAAAGTTCCTGTGGTAAAGAAAGTGTGAAACACCATGGAATTTAAGCGTGAATTGATAGAAAAGTTTGAAAGTGGTATGAAGGAGGTGGAACTTGCCAGGATGTACAGCAAGAATAAATCAACAATTACATCCATCCTGGTAAAGAAAGAACAAATCAAAGATGCTAATGTTGCAAAAGGAGTAACTTGTGTAATTAAACAAAGGCCACAAATAATGGAAGAGATGGAAAAGTTATTATTATTGTGGATTAAGGAAAAAGAATTAGTGGGAGACAGTGTTGTGGAGTCTGTTGTTTGTGAGAAGGCAAGGCAGTTGCATGAGGATCTTGCAAAGAAAATGTCTGGAACAAGTGCTGCAGTTTGTGAATTTAGGGCCAGCAAAGGATGGTTTGATAGATTTAAGAAGCGTAGTGGCATACACAATGTTGTAAGGCATGGTGAGGCAGCAAGTTCTGATAAATGTGAGGCTGAAAAGTACGTTCACGAATTCCAGGACTATGTAAAGGCTGAAGGATTCAAACCCCAACAAGTGTTCAGTTGTGACGAAACAGGCCTGTTTTGGAAGAAAATGCCAAACAGGACCTACAATACCCAGGAGGAAAAGGCATTCTCAGGACACAAGCCTATGAAAGACAGGCTTACTCTTTTGTTGTGTGGTAATGCTAGTGGGGATTTCAAAGTGAAGCCTTTACTCATGTATCACTCAGAAAATCCCAGAGTGCTCAAGAAAAACAATGTCATGAAGAATAGATTGTGTGTGATGTGGAAAGCTAATCAAAAGGCATGGGTCACAAGGCAAATTTTCAAAGAGTGGGTTAATGATGTGTTTGGCCCAAGTGTGAAAAAATACCTCCTGGAAAAGAAATTGCCACTCAAGTGCCTCCTGGTACTGGACAATGCTCCTGCACATCCTCCAGACTTGGAAGACCAAGTGTTTAGGGACTTCAATTTTATAAAAGTGAAGCTCTTTCCTCCTAACACCACTCCTCTCCTCCAGCCCATGGACCAGCAGATCATTTCTAACTTCAAAAAGCTCTACACAAAAGCAGTGTTTCAAGAGTGCTTTGAAGTGACCTTGGACACTCCGATGACCCTAAGACAGTTCTGGAGGAATCACTTCACTATCCTCCATTGCATAAGCCTTATAGGTAAGGCTTTGGAGGGAGTGACTTCCAGAACTTTGAACTCTGCTTGGAGAAAACTGTGGCCAGATTCTGTCCAAGAGAGGGATTTTGAAGGGTTTGAGGCTGACCCTGACCCTGCCGACCCTGTGGACTCTATTGTGGCACTGGAGAAGTCCCTGGGGTTGGAGGTGAGTGGTGAGGATGTGAAGAGTTGGTGGAGGACCACAGGGAAGAGCTAACCACTGAAGAGCTGCAAGAGCTTCATCTCAAACAGCAACAGACTGCAGTTGAGGAACTTGCTTCAGAGGGGGAGGAAGAGGGAGTGAAGGAGGTGCCTTCTTCAGAGATTCAAGAGGTGTGTGCAATGTGGACTAGGGTGAAAGCTTTTGTAGAGAAACACCACCCTGACAAAGCTGAAACAAGCCATATCTGCAACATGTTTAGTGACAAAACCCTGTCCCACAGAGCACTCTGGACAGTTATTTTGTGAAACGGGTTCAGTGACTCTCAAGCTGGTCCTAGTGGCATTAAAAGACAGAGAAGGGAAGTAACCCCAGAGAAGGCTTTGCTACCTAAAGTCTTTATGGAGGGGGATTTCCCTTCCAAACACTAACTCCTCCCTCTTTCCTCCTCCCTATCTCCCAGAAGCCAGCACTAGCCTTCAATAAAGGTATCTAATACTTACATAATTGTTAAAAAAAAAAAATTTTTGTGAATATTTTTGTTTGGAATGGATTAATTGTATTTCCATTAATTCTTATGGGAAATGTTAACTTGGTTTTCGGCCATTTCGGTTATAGGCCGACCTTCTGGAACGGATTATGGTCGATAACTGGGGGTCCACTGTATACCCATTCTTCATTTATGCAGACTTCCTACAATAAATATATTCACTAATCACTATAACGTAAGGACAAAAATATTTTAAGGTAAGTAATGTGTGTACTGTACAGCAGGGCCCCACTTATACAGTAGGTTAAGTTACAGGATACCACCAGAAAGCGGACACTGCCGGAAAACAGAATGCCATTTTTTCCACTTATAACTGCATATAAATTCCAGACAACAAGTTTACACTAACTTATATTAAGTTAGTAATAGAACTTGGAATTCAAAAACACAATAAAGAGTAAAATACATACACAGTACATTCATTACTTACCTTAAAATATTTGTAGTCTTAATGTAGGGTGAGAGGTGAGTAGTACTTACAGTGGAACCTCAAATATCGAACTTTCTTCGGTCCAGAAGTCTGTTCGAGTGCCTTTACCGAATGAATTTATTCCCATCAGGAATAATGTAAATTAGATTAGTCCATTTCAGACCCTTAAAAATACACTTATAAAAGCACTTACAAAAATACACTTACATAATTGGTTGTGTTGGGAGCAGTTCGATTTTTGAGGTTCCACTGTATTTGTAAGAAGTGAGGTGTAGGTAGCCCTGGCTCTCCATCCCAAACTTAATATACAATATTTACAGCAGCCCAGAGAAATAAAATACACATACAGTACACTCATTATTTACCTTAACCCTTTGATTGTTTTGGTCGTATATCTACATCTTACGAGCCACTGTGTTTGATGTATTAATGTGCCAAAATTCTAGCGGCTTCAAATCAAGCAGGAGAAACCTGGTAGGCCCTCATGTGAGAGAATGGGTCTCCATAGTCAGTGTGCACCATACAAAAAAAATTGGGGAGCCAGTGGTGCATTGTGGGAATGCCATTTCAGTAGTCCTTGTTCATCATGCCTAGCGGTAAGAAATATCTGACTCCCCAGCAAATCTGGGACTCTTCTCTTCCCAAGTAATGCTCTAACACAGATGGAAGTGTCGGTGAAGATCAATTTCATGGTTTTGAAGAGTTTGTGACCAAAATCATTGCTCAGGATACAAGAAAAATGAAGGAGAATGAAGGAGAATGAGAGAGAGAATGCAAGAATGAGAGAGAGAATGAGAGAAAGAATAAGACAGAGAATGAGGGAGAGAATGAGGGAGAATGAAAGAGAGAGATACAGTAATTAGGTAGGAGGATGGAGGGGAAGGGAGCATCTGACCCCATTGTTTTGACAGGCAGTAGGGGGAGTGAGTAATGATACAATATGTCATTTTGACAGCTGCCGTAGACACACACACACACACACAACACGAGCTTGCTGAAAATAATAAAAGTTATATGAAAGTGACTATACATGTATATATTTTTCTTTTAACAAACCGGCGGTATCCCACCAAGGCAGGGTGGTCCAAAAAGAAAAAAGAAAGCTTTTCTTTTTAAATTCAGTACAGTGGATCCCCACTTAACGATCACCTCCCAATGCGACCAATTATGTAAGTGTATTTATGTAAGTGCGTTTGTACATGTATGTTTGGGGGTCTGAAATGGACTAATCTACTTCACAATATTCCTTATGGGAACAAATTCGGTCAGTACTGGCACCTGAACATACTTCTGGAATGAAAAAATATCGTTAACCGGGGGTCCACTGTAATTTGTACAGGAGAAGGGGTTACTAGCCCCTTGCTCCCAGCATTTTACTCACCTCTTACAACACGCATGGCTTACGGAGGAAGAATTCTGTTCCACTTCCCCATGGAGATAAGAGGAAATAAACAAGAACAAGAACTAGAAAGAAAATAAGACGAAAACCCAGAGGGGTGTGTACATATATGCTTGTATATGTATGTGTAGTGTGGCCTAAGTGTAAGAAGTAGCAAGACATGCCTGAAATCTTGCAAGTTTATAAGACAGAAAAAAGACACCAGCAATCCTACCAACATGTAAAACAAATACAGGCTTTCGTTTTACACTCACTTGGCAGGACAGTAGTACCTCCCTGGGTGGTTGCTGTCTACCAACCTACTACCTACAAGTGACTATTCTTTCTTTCTTTCTTCTTTCAACAAACTGGCCATATCCCACCGAGGCAGGGTGGCCCAAAAAGAAAAACAAAAGTTTCTCTTTTTAAATTTAGTAATTTATACAGGAGAAGGGGTTACTAGCCCCTTGCTCCCAGCATTTTAGTCGCCTCTTACAACATGCATGGCTTACGGAGGAAGAATTCTGCTCCACTTCCCCATGGAGATAAGAGGAAATAAACAAGAAGAACTAGAAAGAAAATAGCAGAAAACCCAAAGAGGTGTGTGTAGCATATATATGCTTGTACATGTATGTGTAGTGTGACCTAAGTGTAAGTAGAAGCAGCAAGACATACCTTAAATCTTGCATGTTTATGAGACAGAAAAAAGGACACCAGCAATCCTACCATCATGTAAAACAATTACAGGCTTTCGTTTTACACTCGCTTGGCAGGACGGAAGTACCTCCCTGGGCGATTGCTGTCTACCAACCTAATACCTAGAAGTGACTATATATGTGTAT